AGGTGGAGGTAATGTGTCACCAACACACACAATCTGTGACACATCCAGGTGGCATTCTACGCAACACATGGACTAGATCATATTGTTGTACTGAAACAACAGACTATCCAGGTGGCAACAAGGGAGCTCAGATATCCAACTCCTATATACTTAAGAAACATCATTAGAATTTCTTAATTAAGTACTTATGCTATTTCCCACTTAATCAGAAACAGTTCAGATAAAATTTCAGTTACTAAGGATTTCTACAGAAGGAAAATATTACTTTCAACAGACCACTTTCAAACTTGTTGGGAAGGAGGTGGTAGGGTGACTGTGTAACCAAACTGGTTTAGAAAACTGCCTGTTTCAACTGTTCTACATAAGATTTGTTCTAGTAAACGTGGCCATCCTTATGTTGTATCATGCATAGTGTGAGTTATGTGTATTCCAATCGTTTTACACATAATAAGATTGGCACATCTCTACCACTAAAACCTCTCTTTTTTTCCTTTCCTTTTTTTAAAGAAGATTTATGTTGAGTATAAGCAGAGTAATGTTTGGAAGCATTTTATTGGTTCTGTCTTCCTACAATCCTCAGAAAAGTTCAATTTGAAAAGCTTTGTTTCTCTCCAGATGCCTGCAAGCCTTTTAATATCCAACAGGTTTAACAGCCACCAATGAAGGATCAAGTCCTTTTTGATGAATGTCCCTGGTTTTCTACAGAACCTGGTATGTGATACACAAAAGACGCCAGACAGGGACATGATCAATAGACAACATTTCACAGATTTCAAGCGAGACTCCAGTCCCAGAGAGATTCAAATTACAGCGGTAGTAACATCATCCATCTTAACTGTTTGTACAAGATCAGCCCAAATCTTTGCCTGCTATGTAATTATATCACTATATAGCCAGTACGAACCCATTTCACTAGAGCAAAATCAGTTGCCATAATAACCATTTTTTCCCCCACAAGCTCATTTTCACCGAGATCTAATGAACGACAATGTTGGTTAAGTTATCTAGCTGAATTCTTTTACAAACAGATTAATTGACTTATGCTAGGTTGGCATAGAAACATATTTCTCTATAAAACAAACCTAATTTGTTGATATAACACTTATGTAGCACAACAAAATCATAGGATATGATGGCTACATCTATGACATGGTTCTATCTACAAAACTCTCAAACTTTTCAAATCTTCGTCCAAACTTGGGAGTTTCTTTTCAATTTCAAGGACCATCAACAACCAACAGAGACAATGAAACACCAATGTATCCCTACATTACCAAGAAAACTGAACCTGTCTCAGAACCAATTCTTCTAAAGTGCTTTCCTCCCCAACACAGTAGTCTTGGGCTCAGTATTCTATGTATATGGATGAGTCCATCTTTCGATGAGGGGGTGAGTTGGTCAACAATGGTGTTGATGGGGCGAGGAGTCTTAATGACTTTTCCAAGCCCTCCATCCCTCTAAGCAGTTTGCAGTATATGAATGGTTCTGTATCTCAACAAGTCTATACTAACATGTGGAAGGGAATGGGTTCTGCTGCTGAGCAAAGTATGTGAAAACCAATTACAGTCGTCATTAGCTGAATGTATAGACTGATCATATTATTAACAGTTTGAATGTTAAACTCATTTTCCTGCCAGACCGTGGTTTAGACTTGTGGAGTAGTCGGATGGACTAGAACAGATCCGAATCCCCAAGGAAAACTGAAGAAAAAACCTAAAACCTGACATGACTCGCAACTGTCAAGGTCTTGACATGGTGTGTTAGAAAACGTTTCTGTCTCCAACAGGAATGGAAACTGCTTTCCCAATATGCAGATCATTATTGAAAATGTCACTTTAAGTAAAATTGTAATTTGCTTCGAGTTTTTTTTCTCTACCCTCTTTTGAAAGTTTGAAGCAGAAAACAGAAATTTTCTGGAGATGATTCTGTCAGATAACTTGGAAACATGGATCAATGCTATTAACCTAAACTAATGGACCAAGTGTTCATGAACACCACTGAAACAATAAATACTGATTATTTCAGCAAATTTTACAGTTCGTATGGATCCAGATTTCAAAAAAAGGATTACCTCCTCCGCTATTAAATTATGCTCACACATCTTGATTTTCATGGCCCAGTGTTGTAACTGTACGTTTTATTATACAACCTAACCATTAATTACCCCCATGCTTTCTAAACACTGACAAGGAAAATAATTGTAATTAATCTTCTCTAGGTGCACACAACAAGAATTAGGGTAAAGAAAACAGTTGTAAATTCAAACCTGAAATTGATTTTTTCCAAAAACAGATTGATTCCACGCGATGACGGACAATGATAATTCCGTAATAGTTTTAGCAAAATCAGGTGAACTTGTGCTGTAGTATTGTGAGTTCACGCTTAATGTGATTAAATGAACGTGGCATAGCTAAGAATTAAATCTCCATGGTTGCAGTTCATTTGTTCTTTAATGAAGACCCGTGAGAGCTGTTAATTCAGGGCTGTACATTTGTCAGGGTAAGGACCAGAACACAAGGACAACCAGAGCATCCGAAGTGCACTACTTTGTGCTAGGTAGAGGTCCCTCTAGACCCTGGGGATGATGACTATGTGTGACTCGACAATCGATTTTTTTCCTCCGTCAGACATAATCACTTTGTAAATGTGACCTAAATCTACTGATCTGGACCTCTACCAACACTAGACTTTCCAATTTTCTCTTATCAGCAAAGAATGTCAAGTATTTAAGTGTCATACTGTGGAGGGGGGTCAAGGAGGTGGGAGGAGAGAAAGTTTCTATACAGATCAATACACCATAAGGCCAGTGTTAGACCTGTTCAGGTAATCACAGGTAACTACAAGTGCATAAATAAAGAAACGATAGTTCACACCTGTACAGGTAATCACATGAAAATGCAAAAACAATGGAAACCTTAGATCTCATACCTGTACAGGTAATCAGAGGTAACTACTGTATAAATAAGATAACAGACTTCAATAACATACCAACAACATATTTTTGGACATGGACGGTTTTTAAAGTCATACCACATATTATCTGTGTATAAAAGAAGACCTGTATGCCATGTAGATTAACACAATCCTATTTATAAGGCAAATTTGAACCACTAATCAATACATTTGACAAGCAGAGAAAAAATATGTTTGTAGTTAAGGAAATAATGTTTTGTAAAACTTGACCTGGACTGACCTGGAGTAAATACATGGAGTGGTGGGAGGTCGGCGTCCTCAAATAAACATGTTGTTTAAGAGATGACTGGAATTATATATACCACCGGATGTAGGTGTCACAACTAGCAACGTAACAGATTAACAATATTTCCATGGCTTTTGTGGTAAAACAATTAAAAGTTGATGAATATTTCATCAAGTCTAGAAAACATGTTGAAAAACGAGAATGCTTAGATTTAATGTATTTCTTTGCAGTTTTGAATGTTTAGTTTTAACATCTGTGAAGAACAGACAAAAGTTTTCAGCAGATTTTTAGAAAAGGACAAAACTGTGGAGTACATACATTACATCATTTTGATGGAATATTCAATCCCAATACATGAGAATAACTGTTTAACATGACAATAAATTTCTGTTCCAAGCTGGTCTCCTGGTATCAATTTCCATTTGTTTCACTTGAATCACATCACAACAAGATGGTGGATTTCATTGTCAGTTTCAGAACTGAGATAATTTTGATTATTGAGAGCTTAATGAATCCCCAATGAGGAATCATGCCAACTGATTTCAGCATTGTAATCTTGGCACATAATTTGTCTGCACTAAGAACGAAAACAGATTTTTGATTGCATAATTCTGGTTGGGTTTTTATACCGTCAATTTCCTCTTTTTAAACAGAATCCTATTCCAATTGTGTGTCAAATCGAATTTCTCTCTGCGTAATTCTTCTATGTTTTCTTCTAAAATGACAGAAAATGAATTAACTGAAATTGGTAGGATTCATTCAATTAAAAACAGCTGATACCTAAAAGCTTCAATTACAATTTCTTTTATTATAATCAAATGAAAATAAAAACCACTCTTACTAAACTGAAATAAGCGATCAGAAACATAGTGCGTTTTATGAAAACATTGAAATGTAATGTTTAATTAATTCCATAAAAATTTTTCGTTTAATACAATAATTCAATAATATAATGATCATACATCACTTGAGTGTGGTCTTGCTAATGGTTCACATATATTTCCCTCAGAATGCAGGGAACTAGAACATCCTAACCAACTCTGCTGATACAACGAAAATTTGATAACATTGATTATTCAGAGAAAAGATTGCTAGCTAGCTACATGCCCGAGAAACTCCAAAGACAAATTTATTCAATTTTTATGACAAAGTTTGTGTAAATTATTTATTAGTTTTCATTAATTCTAGTCCAATCAGACCAAGCCAGTTGGCAGTGACTCATCTTGAGGACTATTCACTAATGTCTGGTCATAGGCCTAGGGAATAAGGCTGGGAGCTCCAGTGACAGTCTCAGACACTCCATACACTATTTTTGCTGTTACAATTATATGAATTTGACACTTAAGTGGCTTCTGAAATTTGTTGGAAAACTGTAAGCATGGTGCGAAAATGGCTGCATGTAATGATATCTAAAGGAATTGCCACATATAAAAATTTGAAATTTTCAATGTTGAATAAAAATGTCTGAATTAGTATGCGAGGAATTGGAATTATTTCTCAGTTCTCTTCACGGGAAAATCTTATAGAGGTCACAATACATAAATGATAAAATTAACAATGATATTTTGATGAAATTAAAATTTGCATTGCTTAAGACAAGAATGAAACTATCAAGACCTGGAATACAGAAAATGCATTCTTAATGTCAAAGGTCAAGGTTGATTTAGTTCCTAATGTTAAAGGTCCAGGTTTGTTCAGTTCAAAATGAGAAAAGTCAAGGTTTGACAGGCTTAACATACAACTGTTACACAGTACCATGTTTAAGTTGGCTAGAGAGTTTTCCAAAGACCAAAGTACATACCAATATAGTCATTCCAGAGTTGATTTAGTTCAGCATGATGAGCAAGACATCCCTTCATTGTATTCAGACAGTAGTTGTTGCAGGGCTTGGTTTGTGTAAGGCCTCGGCAATGGGGGCAATACATCATCTTCATTAGGGCCTTTGTACAGGCCTCAGTGGGAGGTATCTATGGAAACAAGGACAGATAATACTAAAATCTATATAATGTCAAACAGGCATATCATCATTTGTACTGAGGTGTATCTTTAATAGAAAATGATGACTTATCTATTTTTCAACGAAATCTTTCTGTTTAAACAATTTTTAAAACATGTGTATCTTGTAAAAATAAGATTAATAGTTTAACAACTATCATCACTGTTTCCCATATCAATAACAACCAAATCTAATGAATACTGAAAGTGATCATCAGTTTTTCCTTCATAAATAAATCAAATACACACTGAGCACAACCTTCAAATGACCTTGGCCATAGGAAGAACAGTACACAAGTTCAATCTTACCTTCAACACCTCAAGAACTACATCCCGACCAATTGCCAATCCCTGCACAAAAGTCCGTGCTGCTACGAACGACCTTTTTATTTTTAATGATAACTGTTGAGGGGTATCCCCAAAAGGTTTCAATTTGTTCATCTGGCTTGTCACACATCGAAGAAATGATTCGTCGATCACCAATGTTGGGTTCAGCAACATAAACATCTTCCTTAATAAGTTACGGAAGAAATTGTCTAAGGCATCAAACAGACTTATATCTGTTCCTTTGTAGTAACTTCGTAGGTCCTTGAATAAATTTGCAAACACATCTGAGTTTTGTTGATATAAAAGACCATATGTCTTTACAAACATTTCATGCAAATCCTTTTTTGCATTATCAAGAAGCTCTGTAAAAAATTCTGAAACAAAGAAAAGTAAAACTGATTAAGACAAATATCATATTGTACCTTTACCATGTATTAGTTATAAACATCAATCACTTGGCTTAAAGGCTTTCTTTCTGGTAAATCTTGGAAACTTTATTTCTCAACAGAATTATCCAACTCATTACAACTTCAGCACAAATCTTTGGCAAATAATTATTTTCTCAAAACTGATTCAGGATTTGTTCTTCCATTTCCCTAAAGCATAAAAAATATAACATACAAAAACTACTCTTTTCCCAATAACATACTGATCTCTGTTCACACTTTGTAAAGAGACTTTCAGATAAACAGATATGGTGAAAAGATTAAAAAAGATGCTCTGACAAAACACTTTCTGTGAAATGATGTCAGAAATTTAGACCACTGACAAAGTGGATTTTAGAACTTACATGTGATAACTGCTTTTCAACATGTATGTGTTTATTTAAAGATAAATTTCATTCTTAAGGTAGGAAATTCATGATTTTCGAGTTCAAAATGAAATTGTATGAAAAAAAAAAGAAATTAAACAAGAAATCTGTTTCAGATTAATATCCTTTCTTCTTTGAGCGGTATGAAAAAAAAAACCAACCATGACAACATGAAAACCAATTTCTGATGAGTTTGCATATATTCTTGCTACAGAAGACAATTTTTATGAAATATTTCCCTGAATGCTTTGAATGTTTTTCAATTAAGCTTGCACTGGTTGAAAAAAATGAAAACAGGGAATTTTCTCTACAGGCAGTCGTTAAGTTCACACAGGAAACCCATTCAAACTGCTACATTTTGTGGCAAAATTGTTTTGCTGGATTTACCAAATAGGAACTGCAAATAAGTGGAGCCAATAAAACTACATTAAAATACCAGATGTTGAAAATTCATAGGCAAAAACTGTCCCACACCAATGCTAAAACATAGCTGAAGAAAAGCCTGCTGAACCGTGTGTTGAGATAATGTTGTTTTTTTTAACTGTACATTTGCTGGAGGATAGCTGTTCGCCAGATTATATCAAATCTCCTTCAAGAGCTTGTTGATACAAATACAACTTTGATATGTGATAAATCTACATTACTCTTGATGTTTCGTAATAGCTTTCTAGAATCCATTCTGGAGACAGAAGAGCATGATGAATTGAGAGTGTTTGAGATTATCTAAAGTTCAGGAGCAATTGAAACTCACTGGGCACACAGACATTCTTCATAGGAATCTAACATAACCAACTAGGAAATTCCAACTATACTTTTCCACCTAGCTCCATGAAAGAAAAATATCCACAAATATGTAATAATTTTTTATAAAAGCTTTTGAACTTCTAGTCAAAATTCTTATTCATTACAGATTATGAAAGAAAATGAAAAGTATTTAGGAATCATTAGAGATTCTGTGTAAACAATTCTGAAACTAACACAAACAAGTCTGGTTAGAAACATGATTTTTGAGCAACAGTAAAGCATGGAGCAACAAATAACGTTTACATTTTATGTAAAATTCTGATATTGTTGTCTACGTTATAGTATACAATACATATTTTGTAACGACAATATTTGTCTGAAACACTATCAATATTAGAAAATAAGTTTATATATATATATAAACAACAAGATAATGGCTATATATACAATATCTTGTGTGAACCTGATAATGGCTATATATACAATATCCTGTGTGAACCTGATAATGACTATATATACAATATCTTGTGTGAACCTGATAATGGCTATATAAACAATATCCTGTGTGAAGCTGATGATGGCTATATATACAATATCCTGTGTGAACCTGATAATGACTATATATACAATATCCTGTGTGAACCTGATAATGACTATATAAACAATATCTTGTGTGAACCTGATAATGGCTATATATACAATATCCTGTGTGAACCTGATAATGGCTATATATACAATATCCTGTGTGAACCTGATAATGACTATATATACAATATTCTGTGTGAACCTGATAATGGTTCTATAACATCCTGTGTGAACCTGATAATGACTATATATACAATATCCTGTGTGAACCTGATAATGACTATATATACAATATTCTGTGTGAACCTGATAATGACTATATATACAATATTCTGTGTGAACCTGATAATGACTATATATACAATATTCTGTGTGAACCTGATAATGGCTATAACATCCTGTGTGAACCTGATAATGGCTATATATACAATACCCTGTGTGAACCTGATAATGGCTATAATATCTTGTGTGAACCTGATAATGACTATATATACAATATCCTGTGTGAACCTGATGATGGCTATATATACAATATCCTGTGTGAACCTGATAATGGCTATATATACAATATCCTGTGTGAACCTGATAATGACTATATATACAATATCCTGTGTGAACCTGATAATGGCTATATATACAATATCCTGTGTGAACCTGATAATGACTATATATACAATATCCTGTGTGAACCTGATAATGACTATATATACAATATCCTGTGTGAACCTGATAATGACTATATATACAATATCCTGTGTGAACCTGATAATGACTATATATACAATATCCTGTGTGAACCTGATAATGGCTATATATACAATATCCTGTGTGAACCTGATAATGACTATATATACAATATCCTGTGTGAACCTGATGATGGCTATATATACAATATCCTGTGTGAACCTGATGATGGCTATATATACAATATCCTGTGTGAACCTGATGATGGCTATATATACAATATCCTGTGTGAACCTGATAATGGCTATAATATCCTGTGTGAACCTGATAATGACTATATATACAATATCCTGTGTGAACCTGATAATGACTATATATACAATATCCTGTGTGAACCTGATGATGGCTATATATACAATATCCTGTGTGAACCTGATAATGGCTATAATATCCTGTGTGAACATGATAATGACTCTATATACAATATCCTGTGTGAACCTGATAATGACTCTATATACAATATCCTGTGTGAACCTGATAATGACTATATATACAATATCCTGTGTGAACCTGATAATGGCTATAATATCCTGTGTGAACCTGATAATGGCTATATATACAATATCCTGTGTGAACCTGATGATGGCTATATATACAATATTCTGTGTGAACCTGATAATGACTATATATACAATATCCTGTGTGAACCTGATGATGGCTATATATACAATATCCTGTGTGAACCTGATAATGACTATATATACAATATCCTGTGTGAACCTGATAATGGCTATATATACAATATCCTGTGTGAACCTGATAATGGCTATAACATCCTGTGTGAACCTGATGATGGCTATATATACAATATCCTGTGTGAACCTGATGATGGCTATATATACAATATCCTGTGTGAACCTGATAATGACTATATATACAATATCCTGTGTGAACCTGATAATGACTATATATACAATATCCTGTGTGAACCTGATAATGACTATATATACAATATCCTGTGTGAACCTGATGATGGCTATATATACAATATCCTGTGTGAACCTGATAATGGCTATAACATCCTGTGTGAACCTGATGATGGCTATATATACAATATCCTGTGTGAACCTGATGATGGCTATATATACAATATCCTGTGTGAACCTGATAATGGCTATATATACAATATCCTGTGTGAACCTGATAATGGCTATATATACAATATCCTGTGTGAACCTGATAATGACTATATATACAATATCCTGTGTGAACCTGATAATGACTATATATACAATATCCTGTGTGAACCTGATAATGACTATATATACAATATCCTGTGTGAACCTGATAATGGCTATATATACAATATCCTGTGTGAACCTGATAATGGCTATATATACAATATCCTGTGTGAACCTGATAATGGCTATATATACAATATCCTGTGTGAACCTGATAATGACTATATATACAATATCTTGTGTGAACCTGATAATGGCTATAACATCCTGTGTGAACCTGATGATGGCTATATATACAATATCCTGTGTGAACCTGATAATGGCTATAACATCCTGTGTGAACCTGATAATGACTATATATACAATATCCTGTGTGAACCTGATCATGACTATATATAAAATATCCTGTGTGAACCTGATCATGACTATATATAAAATATCCTGTGTGAACCTGATAATGACTATATATAAAATATCCTGTGTGAACCTGATCATGGCTATATCCATCAATACAACAGCTGACACGAAATGATTGACCCTAATAAAGGATGATGTCCCCAATCATGTGTAATGGTAGACTGACACATACACTGTCATTATTAGATCTGGACACTTTGTATGGTGTGTGCTGCCCTCTCTGCCTCCTATATAAATTTGTCTTCTATATCAAGTTATACAGAGTACATGTATGAAAGACAAGCAGCATGTTTGAACTGGTTTACACATATCATAATGCTTCATGTACCCTAGATTACAGGATACAGCAATACTGCCCATAATCCTACAGTAATGAAGGTACTTATCAAGACTTATCTGGTCACAAAATGGGTTTATAATTGACTACAAATGATCAGTCATGTCTAGATAACCCTTTTACAGCCTCTAAAACATGCCCATCACATACATCCCCATATGGTTTACATTACATGTCCATGTGAAGGGGTTAAACTTCAGACTCTGACTTCTGGAAGGTCAAGTGCAGATAACTCTGTAGTTATGAGATCACTAACACTCAATATAAGCTGTACATAATACAAGGGCATATAACTCTGTAGTTATGAGATCACTAACATTCTATATAAGCTGTACATAATACAAGGGCAGATAACTCTGTAGTTATGAGATCACTAACACTCAATAAAAACTGTACATAATACAAGGGCAGATAACTCTGCCACAATCACTAAGCCTCATTTTAAGCTGTGTATATGGAGACCTAAATTGTTTATTTTATTCCTGACTTTTGAAAATTGGTAAGGTTTTAAAGTTTTATGACCAGTTTCCATGTTGATAGTTTCCATCTGCATAT